AAAATTTCTCGTTCACAATTTGTTCTTGTTAATTATGATAGTTCTATGATAAGTGGTCTAATTTTGGAGAAGTGCCCCGGGCGACCATTTTAGATTTTAATGAAATTTGGAATGTCGACTCCCACATGACTGAATGGAACCTCTGTGAATGTTGTCTAGGCTATCCGTGACGAGCCGCGTCAACGTCATGGTGGCTAACGTTTCGGCCAGCGTATTGTGGCCTACATGAACTCCGGCCGCGGAAGCCTACGCAACCGAACTTCTGTGAAGTTGTAGCTCCGTTGGTGAAATGGTTTTTGAAATGCATGGGTTTCACAGCGGTGTTTTTCAGTACGACTAAGATTTTCGTAACTTTGAGATACAATATTTTCTTCTCTGTTCTTCCTATAGGAATGAAACTGAGTTTGTACACATTTTCCCGTACTACTCATTGAAAATGATATCAATGTTGCCTTTATTAACACCCTGTGGATACATACATATAATCATTATATTAAAATGAATATTCCACTCGTGAAATTAAACCAACCAATAGTGTTTAACTAACATAGCGATGAATCAAAAAAAATTATCGCTTTTTTATCCGATATTTCTTACCGCCCCTCCCTACTGGCTACTAATAAGCTGCGATTCATCTATATGAGGGGGCGGTATGTATCGATCGGTATGTTGATGTGAAATAAATATATGTACTGTAACATAAGCTCTTTGATTATAACATGCTTTCTGTTAATTTCAATATCTGGTACTTGGTGGAACTCTGTTGCACGTAAATTCATTCGTGGAATAGTGATATAAAATACTACTCGTGCTTTGGAAATTCTCAGATAAATCTCCTAATCGCTTCGCGAGGTCAGGAATTATCGCCAATTTCCAAAGCACTCGTATTACCTATAATAATATTCAGATGTCTGCTACGTTTGCTTACCATTATTTATAGTTATTGGAAATCAAAGTCTGAGATCTAATACGTGGTATAGTTTTAATGTTATGTGGGTGGTTTTCGAGTATATTTCTGGACTTTCTGCCGTTTGTAATGGTCAATTCAGTAGGTGATCTTGCAAATTTCGGTTGAAATTGGCATTAGTCAAATTGCTTGACATTATTATTATTTTGCAATATTAATTAAGAGAAGTGGTTGCATGTATATTGAGCAAATGCAGAAATTGCAGTGAATGAAGAACTATAGATACGAGTATTTGATGGATCAGACTATCTGTCCATTAAATTCTTCGAAATTCCACATGAGATATTGTCTGAAACCATGCCCCGAGGGTGGACTATGAAAGGAATCTTGAAAATAAATAATAATTAACCTTCTTAATATGGATAATGGTATTCGGAAACGGAAGTTCGTTATCTGCTTTTCTTGTATTCTTGAAACAAGATAGGGGACGCGAGGAAATGTAGTGTTCCGAACGAAATTGTTCAAATATCTTCTGACATAACGATCACATTTATTTGAACACGGAATCAAGAAACCTGAGGATTTACTCTGAATATAGTGTGTGGTGAAATATATCATGTTTAATTAGTACGTAGTTCTCGAAATAGCAAATATCCGGTTCTGACTGAGCACTCGCAATTATATTCGTAAACGTGAACTAGCAGAATAATATTTAAATTATAGTTCAGCAGTACATTATTAAACTACTATAATTGAATTGCCAGATTTTTACATAGCATTCTTGGCAATCCTGCACGCTTAACTTCTTTATATCTCATAGTTGTAAGTCTTTGAAACGATGGCGTAGAGCGCAAGCGTTGTAAGTTCATTCATGGTCATTTTTGCGTTAATATCCTTTTTGGGGACCTCTCATTCATATTTGTCTATTATACCAAGATTGAATGTGCGTGTAAGATGATCATACTTTTCCCAGAAAGCATACATTTTCTCTCCACACGTAACTACACCGGTTCAAACTTCTAAGCGTGCTTTTCTCTACACTAGGAATTCAATATATGTGCATTAAGCCATCGAAAATAAGCCCGACCTGCTAATCCTGCACCCTTTCTCCCCGCCCGCCGCACCGCCCCCTTCCCAAGCGCATGTGCACCGCGTGCGCGTCACGGAGGCACACCTGCGCCTGGCAGCGGAGGAGGCGCGCAGCTGGGTGGCACCGCCCGCGACTTACGGGCTCGTAACAAGCGACGCCCTCGTCGATAAGCCCACCGCGTCGCCCCGTGCCGACCCCCCCCCCCCTGCGCTCACTGCGAAGGCCTCTAAATTAGTCAGCGCATGCGCAGACGGGCCGATCGGCCGCGCAGATAACAGCACAGCCCCTGACCTACAACTAGGCCGCTGCAGGGGTGCGTAGGACACGGGATTTTCGATTTTGTGACGGCGCACGGGTTTGGTATGGACGAAGTCACAAGCTTTGCGATACCAGGAAATTTGTGTAGCTGAAATCGAGCGTGTAAATGTTGCTCTTCAATGTTATTCGTTTCTTTTTTAGATTCAAGAAACAAATTGAACGCCGGGTGTGTTTGTAAACATTGCGACCCGAAATGTACATAGTATTTGTTTATATAGGTGAAAAGTTATCATGTAACTTAATTTTCTGTTATAACAATGGATTTTCATTTTTATCGGTATTTGAATTACCAAAATGCACGATAAATATTATCACTTTTTTATGATGTTTAAATTGAAAATACTTTTTAGGTTATCTGAGTTTGGCGAGTGGGTGTGATTTGCCATGAACACTCAGACTGAAAATTAATTCAAGAGGAACTTCTTTTCATTAGGTGATTAATTAAAATGCGTATATTACTTGAAACAATTTGCTAAATATCATAACTTTGATGTCCATGATGCTCTGAAAGTCAATTTTTTAAAATGATAAACAAAGCATTCTTAACTCTTAAGTTAATTATTCCATTTTGCAGAAGCTGGAAAGCAATTTCAATTCACATTTTGCCAACATTTGCTAAGATCTAGTAATTTGTGCCTAGATTTTCTAGAAATGATAGTGCCAATTATTCCTTTTAATGGTCATAGCCAAACATTTTAAGGACACGTTTTGGAAACGGAAATCTCCTAGTTCACTCAGTATTTGTAAGATCTCTAGTTCATTGCCGGTTTTCTAGTCCTCAGAACCACAGAAACATTTTCGGTTCCTTCGTGTGACTTATGATAGACAAAGTGAGTTCATGACAGGTTGCCTTAATGAATATATTTTCTTCAACATCTCATTACACCAATTGCATGCCATTCACACCTGCATCATTATTATCACCAGCAGTTATTCATTTAATTGACACGTTCGTTATGAAAACCAACACATCCTATTATTCTTCAGAATCCACTTTTTCACTTAGTATACCGTTAGGAGGTTATTTTGCAAGTCGAGAGAGCTGTTTCTGATTGCAAACATGTTGTTCCTACCAAGTAAGGGCGAAAGCCCTTGATGCAGGGAATCCTGTTAATAAATATTTAGCCATTAAGTAGATTAAAAAAGTTAGGACTGATTTTTTAAACCAATCACATTACATCAACGTATATTTTCCGCATTTTCTTCTTTTTTGTTTTTGTTTTGTTTATTTAAGGTCGCTTCAACATCTAGGTCATTAGCGATCACTATTACCCTTAAAGGGTACGGTAGCTGTGAAGATGACATGATATGATGGTGATAAGAGGTGAAAGGGCGAACACAAGTACATCCATGCCCGTCGCGGGACTCGAATCTGTGATCCTTCGGTCCGAGATCGCTACGGGACTGCTGCCTTAATGATCTTGGCCACCCGGATCCACCTTCCGCTATTAATAATAAATACACGCCAATTGTGTCTTTACTTTTTAAGAGGCACAAGACAAGGCGTGAATAAGGAGCCAAACTGCCTTCAAAACTGTTCAAAATTTCCTATCCTAACCGGCCATCCCAAGTGAGCTCAAGCCACATACTAAGTGCCGTCCATGTGGTATCGACCCAGTGCGCGGTTAAGCTTAGCGTCACGTCCTTCACTTTCGGTGTCGTCGGCTGGACATGCGCTGAGGGATGTTGGTCAGCCCTGCGTCAGTCGAATGCGACAGGAGGGTGTAGACTACATCACAAAGGTCCCCCCTCATCAGATGAGGCGTCTCGAAGAGGATTAGCCGCTAATAAGCTCGCGGAGAAATTAAGCGTGAAATCCGAGTCGCGGTGAGGTCAGCTGACGCGGAAACCCCAGTGGGAGGCCGCGAAGATTGTCTTTTGAGCTGCCGCCGCAGTTAGAACGACGGCCGACTGAACGCAGGCAGTTAAGCAGTCTGACCAGGATAGCATCGTTGTTGTGCGGAAACGTCGATGGCTGAGGCCATTTGGAAGAGAAAAACGGGTCGCCCTTGGAAAGGGAGAATTCGATCCATATTGGTGCGTCTGGTTTATTCATGTTATTGGTAGTTATTGAAACAACAAAAAATGAAATTACTGTGACATGCCTCGTGTAGAAATGTTCAGTTTCTTCACTTTCATATTTTATTATTTTAAATATATATATATATATATATATATATATATATATATATATATATATATATATATTTGTGTGTTTTGCATTTTCTCACTCAGAATTGTAGTTCTTAATATTCAATTACTCAAAATATATATATATATTTAAGATAGTAAAAAGATGAAGTTTAAATTATGATTGAAGACACCTCAAAATATAACGAGGTATTTTATCTATGAAGCCAATGTTTACTTACGCTGTGCATTTCGTCAAATATATTCAGTTACCGAATGACTTTTTTGTCTTTTCAACCTTTCTCCCAGAAGCTTACACTCCATTCTGGATTCGCAGCAAAACGTTTGCTGCAGTAGCCATTTCAGTTCCGTAGCAGTCCGTCCTTGCCGTTTCATTGGACTATTGTTTCCGTAGGAAATTTCATGTTTTGGCCTCCGAGATTAATGGGCGCAGAAAGGTTGTCCCAAGCGGGTGCACCATGCAGCTCATCAAATCGGTGGAGTTAGTTATAAAATAATATGGCTTTTTAAAATGTATATATTAAATGATATCACATAAGTGTGCTGTGAACTGAAACAAATAATTATTAATATTAATTATAAGTAAGCTGCATATTTTTATCTATTCCCCTATCTTTTCCTTCAATGGACAACGCGATCTTTTCGGTTACTTATTGATTTTGGAGCGTTAGGAGTTTTACACAAGACTTTCGTAGTGCCTACAAATACCTATTTCACTAATAAATGCCAATTTTGCCTCTGTCTAAGTATTGCCTATTCTCGTATTAATTTATTCATTTTTTCTTATTTAAGGTCCAATCAACTTCTAGGTCATTAGCGACCACTATTTTGTGTAACGGTATGGTAACTATGAGGATGACATGATATGATGATGATGGGGGTGAAAGAACGAACGCAATACAACCATGCCCGAGGGATCCTTCGGTCCGAGATCGCTACTGCACTACTTTATTGATAAAAATGCAATTATCCTTAAATGCATTTTAATAAATTTTAAAAAATGCATTTTAAAAACTGCATTTTTCGTGCAAATTTATTTTTTTGTTAAAAATTTCATTTTATGTTTTGCCAAGTTCTTACACGCATTCAGCTAATCTCGATTTCTAAACTCTTGTAATTTAAGACGTTTCTGTCTCCTTGCTTACGGCGTATTGACCGCACAGCAACATCAACAAGTAGACACGTATTTTCTCCAAATCCCGGATAACAATAGCCAGTTTGTGTGTCGCTATCCTGCGATCAGTTTGGATTTGTTGGTCATACAGTATTGTACAGAGTCCAGCAGACATCACGGGTGTTGGTGAGTGTTCGTAGCACTTGGAGCATTGGTTTGGAACTTCGAGGGCGGTAAATATCTGCCAAATAACTACACACCCTGTCGCATTTTTTCAAGTATTCTGTTTTTGCTAGAATTCGATATGCTGAAACGTTATGATGAATGGTTTTTTTACTTGTTCCTCGCAAATACGGCATTTATCATCTTGGAAAATTTTGAGAACCGCTTTATCACAATGTTTTCTCAACGTCTGATATTATTACAACTGCTTCAGATTCTGGCTTCATTCTTCCCCTTTTCAGCCACATAAATGATTAATATTTATTGATTCTTGACTGATCTTGATTGATATCTTTTATCTGCACCTTGCCCATTCTTTTTAGATATTGTCCATGAAGTGGTTTGTCTGTTCACGATTTCTTTAACACTTTTGTCACACATTTCATGTTTAGTATCATCAAAAGTTTAACACTCACCAAAACCGGTGACATCTGTTAGGCTCTATACAATATTGTACGACCAACAAAATCAAACTTGTCGCACGATAGCAGCACACAAACCAGAAATTGTTATTCCGGAGTTGGATAAAAAATCGTGTCTACGTGTAGATGTTGCTGTGCCTTGTGATCAAAACGTCCTAACCAAGGAGGCAGAAAAACGTCTTAAATACAAGTGTTTGGAAATCACGATCAACCGAATGTGGAGCGTACAAGCAGAGATTGTACCAATAGTCATCGGAGTTCTGGGATTTGTTTCGTAAAATTTGTGTAAAAACTAGGCTAAACCCCCAGGTCATTCAAAGATTGAGAAGTGCAATAAATTGTTTTATTTGGAACAGCCCTCATTTTGCGCAGTGTTGTAGAGGCGCCGCCAGTCACTAGATCTGCTCCTTAGGCAGCTGGTTGCAACCTGGAGTGGATTTTATATTCAGCCAATTCATAACATCTTAGTGGTGAAGTAGAGGAGTAATAATAATAATAATAATAATAATAATAATAATAATAATAATAATAATTTGTCATTTTCTCTGTGGATGTACCTCCTTGCAACTCTTCTGAAAAAAACACGTACTACAAGTATATTCTGTGCGAGCAGTGTCATCTCTGAGTGTACGATTCCAAGGACGCCTTTTGTGGCTTGGATTTTACCCGATAAAAAGCGCGTGATACGTCTTCCGGTTGCGTAGCGCACGACTGACACACAGCAGGATCTTGCTTAACTAGGGAAGAGGATGTAGTTGAAACAATTCTAACTTTTCCAAAATAAATAAAAAGTAAATGCATTATACTTCTTAATCTAAGCTTTAAAATGTGAGTGTTTTGTGTGTATCCTTAGTAAAAAAATGAAATAAAATATTCGTTTGTGGCCATAGGCAATACATTAAAGATTTTAAAACTATTCTGACTAAATGTGTGAAAACTTATATGGTTAAGTATTCTCAAATACATTTTTTTGTTTTATTTTCTTTGGATTCCATGTGTGACTATGGAAACAATATTTAGTCACGTAAATTCTAACTTCAGGAAAACAATTTGGTTAGTATGTTTAATGTAGAGCTATAGTATGTCGTCGGTATTTACTAAATATATTTTTTCTCTTAGCTCAAAGATGACAGTTGTTTAATCACTTTTATGCACCAATGATGTGTGAGTGTCCTGGAGGGTTATGGTACCATTATCTTTTGCATTTTTTGGACAAATTTTGCTGACGATAATTTCAGATAACTATTTAGTGATTGAAGTGATAAAAATTGAATACCATGAAATATATGTACCACTACTGTGTCTATAATTTAAATTTAAGTATTAGGTGTCGGTAATGTAACATTTGGAAGGACATAGACATTGAAGTAAATTTAACTTAACTCTGAAATACATGAAATTTAGTCGACGATTAAGAAATATAAATTTACAGTCTGCAACTCTGCGCATCTCGAAAATCAAGAATTTTGATATACGAACGTCCTTTAAAATATTTTCGGAGAAACAATTAGTTACACAATTCATGTGAAGCTTTTTATTAAAGCTTACTTCATAATCCTTTATTTTATTAAGCTTGTGGTATCTGCTTGGAAATCTCTAGCAAGCAATATTGGGGGCAGAACAGAAAATATGTAAGCTTTCTCAAAATTTTAGTTTAAGCAAAGGTAACATTTTTTATTTACTGAAATTAACACACTGGATTAAAAGTACCGATCTAAATGGCCGAGGTGGCTAGTGCGTGTACCGACTCAGCACCACGGACCAAAGGCGGGTTGAAGTCCCGTCGTGGTCATGGTTGTTTGTCTCTTTGTCTTCTATGTATGTGTTTTGTCGCGAAAGGCCTTGTGAGTCTGCTGACTACAGACAGAGGCACCCGCAAGTGTGTCTAGTGTAAAAGGTGCATACAGCGTTTGCCAAGTGGAGACAAAATGACGTCAGGGCAGCCTTCCCCTCCATGATCAAGAGTTCAGAGAAGCAGTGCGATCAAAAAGGGGAGGGAGGAAGCGAGAGTCTGCGGTCGCCGGTGACGAAATCCTTGGCAGTGGGTCATAACCGATGTTCAGGTATCATAAATGAGAAAGCATCTACGCCTGTTAATTTTCTTTCGGTTTGGAAGAATTTTTATTTTTATAGATACTGGAATAATTGTGGTGTTAAGTGTGTTCAAACAAACTGATTTTTTTTATTTCAACCTATAAAGGCATTATGCAGCTCTGCGACCCACAAAAATCCGCCTTATAAAATTGCATTCTGAGATTTGACAGACAGCCTACGATCAAGAGATGAGTGGAAGAACTAAATTCTTTACATTATATAATATAGTTCTAAAATGTTAAAACTGTCTCCAAAAAGGTAACGTAAAGAATGGAAGTGGAATTGTAGTACTAGTCATGATAAGGAGTCGATTGATTGATTGATTGTTGTTTTAGTGATTCCGGGCACGTCAACTGCCAGGGTCATTATTCCCGTAAATATACTGCATTTTTTCTCGTGTTGAGGCAGTGTGCCCTGTTGGATGGCGAGTCCCGACACCGACCTACCGTCGGCTGGCGGGGTTTTCCCCAAACAGGTATCTCCCACTAGCTGGATACCACTCCAGACAGGACAAGCTCTAAGCTCCAGACCGGTCTCCTGGCAACTGTGATAGTACAGTGCATGTTAGTGTAAATGTGTGTATGTAATGGGCGAGGATAGGACTAGGAAGAGGGAGGTAAGATCGCGTTCGGTCCGTGGCCATTTTGTTAAAGTACTGCTCCGGCATTTGCCTGGCGTTGATCGGAACCATGTAAGTCTAGCGATCAGAGCAGCCTGCCACTAGAATTCTCCTCCTGACAGTGCCTGAATTTGACCTAGCTAACACACTAGTGTCAAAAATCCTGCCACCGATTCGAACCGAGAACCTCCCGGTCAAAGTTGCAGTGACATCAGTGGACATCACCCTGGGCCATTTCCCTCGGCATAAAGAGTCGAATATTGCTTTCAGTTATATAATAATCTATGTTCTATTATTTAATTTTTCATTGTTACTGATTAATAAACATTGTAAATAATAATTACCATTTAAAAACGTTAATTATCGATTTTCCAAGTGAACCTTTTCTCCCACCTCCGTACCATCATTGGAACACCGTGCGCCGCGTCGAGCAGTACCTTGGCTCTGCGGTTTGGATCGGAGCAGGAGAGTAGATTTCTGTGACGTCACAGCCCATTGAGTTGGCAAACACTGGGTTAATATGTGTCCCCATGAAATATATGGCGACCCGTGAGGGTCTGTACCTGGTTCAGCTAGTGAAAATCAACATTTCCTGAAGCTGGATAAAGCCCTAGGAAAAAATATTAAAATGGCAAAAGATTAAAAATGGCAGCTCGTCATGAATTCAATGAAATACTCTGACAATAAAAGTACGTTGGCAATAGAGTATTGTAAAATAAATAGCAAGTATTGTGCTAATTGGCCCTCTTCATTAGACATGAACTGTGGTTTGCAGGGAATTCCGCTATTCCAGAAGTACCTTCATTACATTCCTTTCCTACGCATTTTTTGACATTTTGGTTAATGAAGAGCAGTAAAAGATGTTTGTTTATAACATGTTATCGTTTCAAGCCTTAGTTCGTTCAAACATTTTTTTTTTCGGAGGTTCAGTTGAGATATTAATAAGATTCATACATTCAATGCATGCATATTCAAAACTTATTGACAAACCTACAAACTTACATCTTCCTTTATTGCTTGCTTATGTAAACGAATCTTATGTTTGCACTTTCCTAAATAACTACTATTTTACCCTACTACCCTATTGCCTTTATTTTCAATCTTTCACCTACTTTACTTTCATCATCAATGCTTTTACGGCTTTAAAAACATAATCAATTAATCTCACTTCCCTCATATTACACGCCCCTGCCTTTTTCTGATTTCCACAATTTCTTTCATTTCTTCATCCCCTCCCCCATCATTCTGTAGGACCAGCTAATTTTGCGATTTTAAAAATTTAATTTCATTTATTTATGTTAATCTTTTACTCATCTTTCAAATATTTATAGTTAAAATGACGGGAAGGGAATCTGGAACTCAAGAAAACGTGCGCAGATAATCATTTCTCTCCTACGTCACATACAGTTTCTACTGTTTTTTTTTTTTAGGCGCTTAGCGTTGACTACAAACGGGCAGACGGACGGACCCACAAAGTTATTGCAATTTTCGAAAAAACGGAAAAATAGCCGAAAATGGGACTAGCACCATAATTTTACCGTCCCTTATTGCATGTCAATGGAGAATTCTAAAAAAATAAAGCAGTTTTTGAGAGAAAAAGTTTAACAATTTTGTTCTAACTTCTCTTATATTTAGTACAAAATTACACGAAAACTACTCATATTTTCGAATAATTGAACTTTATCTTATTTGAAAATCTGTATATAAGGGACACATTTTGATAAAGAAAAAATCTCTATTTTCAAGATAATAGTTGTAGAGTGTCGCCTCCAAAAAATTGCATTGGCAATTTTCAACAAATCTGGGATTTCAAGGAACACGAAACCTGCACCATTTTCTTAAGCGTTCTTTACGCTAGGCGACAAAGTTTGATAAAAAAATTTGGTGCCATTTTGAAAATGTTTCTGAGGCTTCTTGTAAAGTACCCTAAAAATCAAAATATTCAATTGAAACTCCCAAAGCCTCGAGTTCTTTTACATAAACTGGGGAATAACAATTTTGAAGACAGTCGGCTGAAAGTTTAGGAGCTAGCGTTGACCACAGATTGACAGATGTTTTGCCGTCAATCGATTTTTTTATATCAAGGTCCCACAAAAATTGATTCTGGTTACACCACGTGTTAGAGGATTTCTTTTCTAAATTTAGCAACAGGATTTATCCACTTTTTCGTTATCAGGGCCCTGTAATAAGAGTCTTTCTGCCGAAAATTCGCCATTTTCCGACACACGATTACATAACTTTCTCTTCTTACGATGTTCCTTCGAAAGGTGAGAAAGTAAAAATGAAATGAGAAACTACTGGATGTATTTGAAAATATTGTGTAAGTGGGAGACGTGTCTCTACAAGAAACAAAATTATAAACAAATTAATTTCAATATTTTTATTTTTTCAACTGTGCCAGTATTATAGCCAATGAAAAATATTTTGCTATCGAAACAAAAGCATTTTAAAAAGTCGAAAATATGGACAAGTAATTTTCTCGAAAAAGTATTATCGTTGCTTTCTAGGGATAGCATCAATAACTGTCTTCTACACCAAAACAACTTTGCATTACAAATACAAGTATTTGTATACAAATATCTGTATTGATACAAGTATTTGTGTTGACGTGTATTGAGGGGTAAATTAATTTAGAATCTCCGAATCTTATAATCTCCGGGGAGGCTGAAATCCGGAATAACGCCGTGAATAGCCCGAAGGGACGTGGGTTCAAGTGAGTAAGCAGTTATTGACAGCGGGAGCATCAACTACTTTGGTCATTATCCCTGTGAATGCAGGACATGTAGTCGGAAGGTGGCGATTTCTAACCCCTCTAAAACGTGAGTTCTAATTCAAAGAATTTTCGCTGCACTTGGTACAACCCCCAGCAGGGTAACGCCCCAGCCGGGACAAACCGGCAGGGGCGTGTGTTCCGGATATGTTTGGTAGTATACTATGTACGCATGCGCGCGCGCGCGTGTGTGTGTGTGTGTGTGGGTGTGTGTGTGTGTGCGCGGGGAGAGAAGAGGATAAGGATGCGGTAGTAAAGATCACGCGCAGTCAGTGGCCGCATTTGTTGGGCCACGAATTCTGAATGCAACCTCGAGACAGCGGCTGAATTCGACCTAGCTGTATAGCTAGTGTCGACCATCGTCGGACTGTGATCGTAGGACCTGCCCAGAGTCGCTGCAGCGGCAACGAATGACACTAAACATCACAGGCGGTAAGGGGTCCGAATTCAGATCAACGGTCTGCTAACTGTTCAATTGATTTTTTAAAGGCCTTAGGGCGCCACGTCGCCACGGCGGCGCGCTTCCGTCAGTTGGCAGGGCTCGTCCGACGCCGACACCGCTGCACGCCACGGCCGCACCGCCGCCCGCGGTGGAAGGAGATGGGTTCTGCAGGGGTAGGTTTAGCCGACACTCCGGCAACGACGAACAAAGGGACCGCAAAAGGTAAAACGCCACGACCGGCGGCGCAGTGGGAATGCCATAATTTAAAGCTTTGTTCTGCTATCGGTGTCGCTTATGCCCTCCAGAGCGAGGGTCCGGCGCCGAACGCCGCAACGGCGCAAACCCGCCGCACGTGGGAAGACCTCCAATCAAAACAATGCCCTGCTACGAGCCGCTGCGTTCGGAAGCGCGCAGCGGCGGCAACGTGTGAAGAGGCCCTTAGGCCCTCTCTGTCTCGCGAGCACGCACCTGTATTGCTGGTCGAGCTGCGCCTTCTCGATGCGCTTGTCCTTGGCGCGCCTGTTCTGGAACCAGATCTTGATCTGCGTCTCGGTGAGCGCCAGCGCCTCGGCCAGCTCGAAGCGGCGCCCGCGCGAGATGTACTCGCTGCGCTGGTACTCCTGCTCCAGGCGGAACGTCTGGTCGATGCTGAATGTGGTGCGCTGCCGCCGCGGGCGGCCCTCCTTGCGCCGCCGCCGCGCCACTGCAACACGAGCGGGGGAACGGCTTTCTCGCGTGGCTCAAGGGCGGACGCGTCGTGCTTCCCTTCGGAGGAAAGGAAAAGGCCAAAGGCCAATGGACGTTATGGGTGGGTAAACTGTGACAAAAAACAGACAATTATAAGAAAATATTTGAAATGGTCTTCTTAGGCCATTTGTGACAATCAAAATATTGTGTGTGCATGTGCTTATGTATGTAGGTATGTTTGTATGTTTGTATATGTTATGTTATGTTTGTTCACATCCACCCACCGACACACACACACACACACACACACACACACACACACACACATATATATATATATATATATATATATTATATATATATATATATATATATATATATATATATATATATATGAGTGGGAGTGGGTAGGTGTGCACGTATACGTATGTATATGTATGTACGTTTGTATGTATTCGCATCTCTGGAACAGATATTCTTTTAGCTTTAGGCCCGCATTTGGGTGACCCGCTCTTCCAATATCTTGGTAGTGTCCTGATTCACAGGATGCTGGGAGAGGCCCGATCCCCTTCTTTATTTATCTATTGGTGGGCGAAGGGACCCTCCTCCGCGGTCAGAGGCAGTCCTTTCAGACCCGCCTCATTTTTTTTCTTTTCAGGTGCCACCGAGGTACCCTGCAGTTACGTTTGGCGGTTTTGGGGAGAGGGAGTCGTTCCGGTGGGGAAGGATAGAGCTAGCGGGAGATTCTGGTGGTTGAGACTATTGCAACACACGGGATCAGGGAATGACAACGCCCAATTGTGATGTGCACTTGCCTCCCACGCTAGCTACTAAGCCTCCTAGGCATACTAGAATAGGAAGGACACGGTTCGAAAGGTCGACTCCGCTGCGAGCCTCTGTCGGGGAAAGGCGTGCCCACTGGGGATCTTTGGGCTTTGCAGCTGTGTTAGTGTTCGTAATCGGAAATTTCGGTAAAAGAGGCCATGCAGACAGAAATCCAACAGAACAACCTTACACTTAAACAAGACTTAAAAAGTCCACGTAAGAGGCAGACTATCAATATTCAGTACCCGTTGGCAACAAATTCGGACCTCTAGAAAATCTGGAGAACCTAGACAATAGGTTTTCGTTCATCGATGCAAAATCGATGCCCCTGGAAACCTTCGAAAATGTGAAAATCTCCTCAATTCATGTGAAATTAATTTTAAATGTAGCAGAGTTTAATAGGGAAATAAAAAACAACGTAACTTCGCAATTCACCTCTGACTACAATGACAACAAACTAAAAATTAGGTTTACAACCGTTACAGACTTTAGAAAAGCCATTAAATACCTAATTCAAACAAAAAGGAAGTTTCACTTATATAAATATCCTGGAAACAAAAAATTCTCCGTAATATTCAAGAACGTTCACGTATCGATCACCCAAGAGAAATTACATCAAGATCTCAAATCACAACACCCTTCCCTATTAAGTTTCAACAAACTGTGCAAAATCAATTGTCAAATACAGGTGATTGCCGCGAAATTTAACGGCTCACAGAATATAGAAACCATTCTACAAACTAAACAAATATATATCTTACATGTAAAGCCGAAAAAAAAGTAGAGGCCCTGTTTGATGCCTTCCGTGCCTCGATTTCGAGCACACGAAAATCAGTTTACCTGATATTATTGGGAGAGTAAAGAAAGGAAATATTTGGATACACGAGCACACGTGGAGCAGTGAGCTACCCGGCTGCGTATTTCCAGGAGCTTGAACACAGGCAACCGACGTCGAAGCGAGTTGGAGGTCACGGGACAAACGCGAGGACGGCGACGTACCTGGGTGATTTAATACACCCGACTTCTCTTCACGCTATGGTTGTATTCATGTAAGAATATGCCAGTGAGAATTTTATTGTTTGAACTCTAAGCAAAGCCATGTATCGTAGTACAAGATCAAATTGGACTAGTAACTGATTAAAAAGTTCTTTCAAACTATTTAAAAGTTGAATCAATGTTTCTTTTCGTAAATTGCACTCAATTATTGAAATTTGTTATAAGTAAATACATATTAGTTTACGGATGTGTAACTGTAGTTAGAAGGTGCTTCACAACGTCAAATACTTTGTTTTCAATGCATGATGATAGCGATGTGAAAGGACGAACACAATACATCCATGCCCTAGGCGGGACTCGAACCCGCGATCCTTCGGTCCGAGATCCCTACGGCACTATTGCCTTAGCGATCTCGGCCATCCGGACCGGCCTTTCGTGCGCTCTTTTGTGAATGGAAGTGTAGTTTAGTGAGATTGTAGTATATTTTGTGAAAATAAATCGGTGTAATTTGAATGATATTGGTGATCATATGGGTGCATAGAACCCATGTCCCTGAGTCTCATAAAATTATAATTTTATGTGGTCAACCATTTTGTTTTCCAGACGTCACGGCTACTTTGGCACACAACGTGTGCTCAGGCTGCGTCTTGTGCGGTATTTTCTTGCTTAAACGTAGCCAAAGCTATAAAATTCCACGTAGTGGCAGCAAATTCCTTATCCGAATTTCCAACACTGATCCGAGATAATAAGTGTATTTTGACGTAACGGTTTGAATAGAACTGCTAACCCAACTGCAAACGTTGCAAATCTCGCTGCTGGCTAGATCAGCTGTGCAAGCATCCTGTATGTAGCTGCAGATGATCTGAGCTCAAAACGTACGTCTTCGTTTTGTGCGAGATTGGAAAATGGTCACTTCATTGATAATCCGAGTAGTTGAATTTGAAGAATACCTAAATTATTAAAATTCACATGCCGTATGAAGATATCTTACGGCATGTGATACGATTTACTGTATCTTTAAAAATAAAGTAACTGGAAAAACTAATGGTGCTACAGAATGGCGCAGACTTTCTAGTATTATCTTTGGTCTCCGCTATCTTTACGGTCTATAGCTATCTGTAGCTTTATATCACATACTTTACATTACGTAGATTACTCCGTATATACGAGAAAGTAAAAATTTGTTGTTGCAAAACCATAACCGAATTTCCCTAGACTGGGGTCTTTCTTTCTGGCTATTGCGGGATTTTTACCCTCGCGAATGTGTTTTGATATTGCTACTATCAATGTATTACTCTACAAAACATCAATATGGCTGCTCTGATCGTTTTCATAATTATTTAATGTCTTTCCTAAACTCCCGGAACAATACAAATCGTCTCAGCATACGATTTTCTGTTTCGACTCAATTCTGTAACTGTTCTGGCTTCCAATGATCGTATTTGCAGAGTTAGCTCATAGACAACATTGTCGTGACTCTGCAGCGACTTTGACCGGTTTTAACTAGTTTCACGTCACAAAGGAACAGTACCATATTTCTGGATAAATCACTAAATTAACGGGACTAATATCCACAGTGGTTGACATACCCAGTAACATCAATCCAACTGAATATTGGCTGCAATCTCAAACAATTTCTGTGACAGCACAGGAAATTTGCAAAATGTGGTTAAATTTTGAAAATATTTGCAGGAAATCTCTCTTAGGCAAAACAAATCAATAAAAATGTACTTTTCTAGTCACCAACTAACTAGACATTGAGTGGCAAAGTGGTACATCAAACCGCCAGACGAACATCATTTTATTTCACGACGAACTGTACTACTGAGAATTTGTTTATGTATAATTTTCAAAATATACTGTTTGGTTGCGAAATTGGTGTATTCTAAAGGGGAATTGGAGCACGGTACTGGCTGTGAAATGCTGACTCATGGAGCACGATGATGAGAAAATGTCTTTGTGAATACGTGGCAGAGATTCGTGAAATGAACGTTCTTATATAATTTTATGATAGGTTCCAGGAAGTTCTCAGGAGCGTAAAGCTAATACAAGCTATGAAGACTTTAATAGGATTGATTACACACTAGGTAACCGGAAATGTGAAATGGTATACAATTTCAAAGCTAACTATATTGAAAATGTGCTCTTCATTTTGATATTTGTCAAATGTAATTTCTGTAATGTATGCTCCTCTTTGCAATAGTAAAATTTAATAGAAATTATGTTTAATGTGATAAATAATATTATTCAAAACGTTCAAAAATGTATAAAATGCAATAATATGCTAGTACGTTTTGTCTAGAACGAACCTCAACATGAGAACTCGGACTTGTACTTTCCTAGAACAAAGAGATAACTCACAAGAAAAAGTTGATATAGAATTATTTAATGCCATCAATTGTAATTTTTGTAAGAAATTTATGATTACTGATATATATTGAAGGACCATCTTGGCAAAATTAAATCCTTTAGCTATTTAGCACTAATCAGTTTCGATTTGATTACTTGGATTGATTGGATAAGATTGCGAATATTGTATCTTCGCCTGCGCTATCTGGTATTCAAACGTCAAAATTGGGGCACTAGCGCTTCTAGAGAAAGCTATGCCAAACTACTCTAGCTATACGTGTTCAGAATAAGTCTCGTAAGAAGGCGCTAGGGGCTTCTGGACACTAGATCAGTGTATAGCAGGAAAAGATAAGAACATGAAAATACTTTTAAAACAGTTCACTGCGTCGGCGACGCTACATTCAACTAGTACTAATGTGGAGTTGCGTGAGACCTCACGCTAGTGTTGGCAGCCTGAGACAGTTGGCGCCCTGCGGCCAATTCAAGGTCACGCGATTGGGGGCAGAGCAGAGGATGGCGATCCAGGCACGCAGAGGGCTGCGACCACCGGAAGGGGGAGTTTCAGGAAGGGCAGGCAGTTGCAGTCGAGTGTCACCGACCTGTCTTAAGAGATCTGTATTGTGTACACGATGTGACAAGACTTGACTAGCGGAAAAGAGATAAGCGTTTGTGACAGGGGTTTTGGGGAGGAAAAAGGATATGTACTTATATTGTAGCAATCTAGTAATTAAATGTTATTGTTGAAACGCGTGTGTGTTTCATTGAAAGAATTTTCCCTCCAATATCCTTCCTACACTAATTTATGGCAATCTTTCGTAAGTGTTCAAGAGTGTTCTGTAAGCGCTG